TCGAGGAAGTTTCGTTATACGTGCGTTCAAAGCTTTCTGAACCGCACAAAGAAATGTTGTGGCATATTCGTGCGGTGCCATGACACAACGTGGTGGTGTTAATGGATAATCTGCAGGGACAGTTACTGATACAGGAGGTACGCATGGAAGATGACGATCGTCTAACCAGCATATTAATTGAATACATTTTGATCCAGTTTGTTGTGCTGGATCAAGACTGACCTGTAACATAAATGTTTAACATTAAAAATTTTATAAAATTATAAACCAAAATGAATTACCTTAAATCGTTGATCTAATCGGGCTATTTCTCCTTGTAATACGTCTGGTATTTCACTAGGAGATTCTTCTATTTTTTGTTTTTTTAATGGCGGTGGTAAATTTCTAGTTACAGAAGTAACATCTTGTTAGATTTGATTTTGTTTTATAACACAATCATCTGCAAATTAATTAATTTCTTACTTTATCTCCGGGCCAAATAAAGCTTCTAGACACGGTCCAAAGGTACGTTGTAATGTATGATTCACAACTGGACTTTGTAGATGAGTGCTTATGGCTTCTAGAAGTGGGCTGAAGAAATGGTGTTCTTTTAAAGTTGTGATTGGAGGTCCAACACTGGCATCGCTTCGTTTAAAATCTAATTTTTCTAGAACTACTTCACATTTTAATAATGTATCTAAAGGCATCCGTTTACTAGGATTTGATAAAATTTCTAAAAGTTTCTTCATTTTGCTCAGTTTGTCAACATCTGTAAAATAAAAAATTAAATAAATCATTATATACATACAAGAACATTAGTTGAAATTAATGACATTAAAATCACTTACTTCCTTCATTTCCCATTTTAGCAATCATTCTTCGTAGAGGTTCTACATATTTACTTAATTGTCTAACTTTATCTCTATATGCTTGATCTTCTTGTTGAGGGCTTGGAGTGGCACCTACTCCGCCAGGAGTGTTTAAAGAACTGCTAGGAGATGGAGCCATGCCTAATTTAATATAATTTTTAAATTTTATCTTAATCCATATTTGGTTAAAATTAATGATTTTTATATTAAAAATAATTTTAACATACCAACAGATCGTTGTGGTCCTGCCATCATATGTTGTGAACTAGGTGAAGGAACTAGTGCTGGTGATGCGACCATTTGATTGCTATAAAAGATATTATACAATTTTAATTTTTGACATAAAAAAAATTTTGCTATTATATCTAACCTTGATGGTGCACCTAAACCAGCAGGACTTGGAGCAGATGGTGATGGACTCTGACCCAGAAATTGATTAGGTGTAACATTTCGAGGACCCGGGAAACCAGCATTTATTATTTCTCCTTGCTAAAAACAACATAAAAGTTTTAAAATAATGACGTTTATATATTATTTCATTATTTATATACCTTTCTTTGTATATGACTTAATTGTTGCTGCATTTGACCAGGACCTAATTGCCCTGGAGCAATCTGATTCATTTGCTGTGGTATATTTGTCTGAATTCCACTTATAGATCCACTAATTTGATTGCTTATTTGATTAGATAATTGGTTTTGCATTTGAGTCTGAAATATATAATTTATTATCTATATTTTTATTTATTATAAAAAGAATGTATATTTTCTTGGAATAAATACATACTTGCATATTTTGCTGCATTTGACCTGTAGTAATTTGTGCCATTTGATTGGGAACCATTTGATTCATTTGTTGAGGCATATTTCCTTGTCCCATTGAATTCATTTGTGTTAACATTGAATTAGTTTGCATGGTTTGAATTGGACCCATATGATTCATTGGACCACTGGTTTGAGCAGACATCATACCCATTCCTGATATTTTACTTTGCATGCTTTGCATAGTCATAGCTTGTCCAGGCCGTTGATTCAAACTTTGTAATACTAAAGCAATTAGTATTATAAAAATTATTAATAATTGTATTATTCGAGTTTGAATGTATATTTTCTATTTTTTGAATGTATATTTTCTATTTTATTGAAATTTAAGGGTCTATTTCTATGTTCTGGTAAATTAATTTTCATTTAACATTCTCGATCAAATAAATTTTTATTTAGTTAAATATTTGTGTTAAGAAATAAAATAAAATTTTGTCAATGAATTGAGTATTATATGTGGTAAAATGAATAAAATGATACTTTTTACAATTTTTTCAAACATATATTATTTTAATTTACATATTTTATTTTAACATATAATGTTTTTTTTTGAATACATAACTAAAAATAAATTCACATAACTTAATTAGGTATGTTCACACATAAACTTGATATAAAGATATTAATGTGTTTTATGTACTTATATGATTTTAAATGACTGAGATGGCGATACTTCATTGTTAGAAAAATTTTCCTCGTTCATAAATATTCCAAATGCTTCCATTAAAGGAAGATAAAAAAATATTTTTATCTTTTTTTCTAATTCAAATATGTACATTCTCTTTTGTTCTGCTGATATATCTTTTTTATGCATATACTCATATGAAAGTTCATCGGTTTCAAAATTATCACCTAGTGTTATGTCTAGAATAATTATGTCTTCTGTACTTGTTTTTTTTACATCTTTTGGCCAGGCTTTTTCACATAGCATTATTTTGATGTTGGTTAAAAATTTATTTACATGAACTTCTATGCCTTTGTAAACTTCTTTCATATGGTCAACCACTTTACATATATATTTCAATTTTTGTATAAAAATGTCCAAAATGCTTTTTATTTTACTTATCAGTTTCAGGATTTTTTTATCAGTAGGATTATAAATACCATTTTTTACTTTGTTATCAAGTGTTATTATATCAGGTAAACGACTGCGCCCTAAACTAATATACCATTTGCGCAATAATTTAATATAAATAAATGTTATTTTAAATTTGATACCTGGTAAATGAGTTTCATCAACAACAGGTTTATAAATGTAACATACACGATTGTCTGCTAGATCAATTAGCATGCCGCAATGGTCTTGGATATATTTTGCAAAATTTGCTTCACGTATCTTAGTTTTCCAAAACTCGTGTAATAATTCTTCATTATTTCTGCATTTAATATATTCATAGAATTTAGCATGAGATGGTGACTCTTTTAATATTTTATGCATGTTTGAATTGTCAGAATCATAAGCACCTTCACTTTCTATAGAGCTTTCATATTGTGAGTAATACATATTAGTTAATTTTGACATCTTTCTTTGATATCTTTTAATTTGAAGAACAATGATTTAAATGTTGTTTGAAATACTTATAATTAGGTTATGTTTTTTATTGCTATTGTTTTAAGGTATCGTTTTGTCAGTAAAAGAAAAATACAGACAAAATCATGAATTTGATATTTATAAATTCCACATAATTAGTAATAATAGTAATTCCACATTACTAGTACGATTTTATTAAAGAACAAAATTCTTTTGATTACAATGAAGTTTTTCAAATACACATCTTGTACTCTCTCCATTAATTTTGAAAAATTTTAAGTCCTATACTTATCTCTTATGTAGGACTTAAATAAAATATATTAAATAAGAGACTTAATTTTTTAATGTATTCAGTATAATTAATATGCATAATATATTGAAGATATGTAACAGAGTATATTTATAACCCTACATCGATGTATTAAAAAGTATATAAAACAAAAAAAAGTTTCATTAAAAAAAAAAGTTGACCTTTGTATTTTATGTGTCCATTCATGAAAAAATAACATCAAAATATGCTAAAAAAATGAAATTATTTCATTTTTATCTGAAACATTCTTTCCTATAAATAGCAACAATAATAAATGAAAATGACAAAATCAAATGAATGATTTTATATATACACATGTGTTTCATGTAATGCAATACAGTTCTCATATTTTTAAAAGAATTTATTATTTTTGCTTATTAAATATGAATTAATTAAATATAAATTTTTCTTGAAAATGTATGTTTTTACATACAGTTAGTAGCAGTATTTGTTGGTGGTTGTGGAATTATTCCTTGAGGATTAGATCCTGGTCCATTTATATTCATCATTTGATTGTTTCCAGTTCCCTGACGTGCTAACGTTTGTAATGCTCCAATTGGATCAGGCATCCCTTGATTTCCAGCACCACCTGTACCTGGTGCATTACCTCCTGTACCTTTTTTTGAGTCTAGAAGAACAATGTATATTATAAAGATCATTTAATTATGTTGTAAATATAATGTTGATTTATGTAAATGTGTTGATTATATAAATTAAAATATATATTACTTAATTCTCTGACATGTAGAATTAGTCTGGCCACAAAACCTAGATACTCTTCCTGTAAATAAATATATTTCCTATTAATAAAAATAGATACTAATGTTATTTCTAAATTTCTAAATTTATTAATTTTATTTCTAAATAATATGCTCATATATCTGTTGTTCTAAATATTTACATTATTTATTTCTTACATAGATAATCTAAAAATAATAATTAACAATGAAAAGAATAGCAATATACCTTAGTTTTTGCTTTTTGAAAAACATGATTTTCCATTTCAATACTGTTTTTGGCAGTGGGCATTCCAGACATTTGTACAGCTTCATCTCTGTGTCAAAAATATTTAAAAATATATATTTTATTTATTCAAATATATATATATTTTTACAAAAATATTAAATATTCTTATTTGATAATATACATTATTAAAATGAAATAAAAATACATTACATTTTTGCAATTACACTTTGGCGGAAACTTTGTGTTCTCCAAGAATTTTCATCTGTTGCCATTTTTAATGTTTAATAATTAAATCAATAATCTAAGCAATTAAAATTTTCTTTCACAATAACTAAAACTAATAACTAATTGAAAGCGAAAGTCTATTTTTCGAGTTTTGGAACACCTCTAAATCTGTACATACACTTTTCCACATTTCAACTCCAACACTCTTTTCACTTCTAATAGATATACTGTTTGTGAGTATTGTTAATCCTCTCCTCTACTATATCACTATTCTCCCTACGAACATAAAGATATTAGTAAATGACCTAATCATGTTCTCATGAAAACAACTAGTTTATTATAGTACGTAAATAATTATTGTTTAACTAATATATTTAATTTAGTATTAAAAAAAATTTATAAAATTATCAAGAAAAATTGGAAATAATAAATAATTCAATTTTAACTGAACTATTTATTATTTCTGAGTACTGAATATTAAATTTTAAAATAATTAATTTTTTGTTTAATAACAAATTTTGGAATTTAAAAAAGAAGATAAATAGATTAAATGTTAAATAATTATAGTTTAAACTGAAAATACAAGATGTCATATCAAAAGCGGAAATTGATTCATGAAAATGCTATGATGCATTATTATCATGTCGGCACTTTACTCCTTAACCTTAAAATAGTATATAGTTTTTAAATAACCCCTAAATTTAAAAAATGGCAGAATTAGAACTAACCGAAGAAGAATTAACACAAAAACATAAAAAGGAACGGAGAGAATTGCAAGGTAATAAGATAATTTAATTTTAGTTTACAAAATATTTTTTTTTCGATTATTGATTATACGTTTTTCAACGTAAAATGATTTATAATATTGTATTTACATGAAACGTTTTATTAATAATATTTTATTCCATTGTAACTATTTATTATTATATTTTATAGATACTTTTTAAAATATACAACTATTTAATTATTATATTTCAAATTTTAGCACAAATACAAACGCTAAAAAAGTCAATTTGTAAAGGTGATAAGAAAAAGAAAAAAGAAGTGACTGAGGAAATTAACCGCTTAGAAGAAGCTTTAGATAAAAAGCAAGAAGAAGAGTTAATAACATGGAAAGTTACGCATCTTAATATTAATAATGTGGAAAATGAAGATACAGAGAGTAACAATGACAAAAGCACAAAAAATAACAAACAATATGAGCAGCCAATACATAGAATTTCAAAAGCACAAAAAAGAAGAGACAAGAAAGCAAATGCAGAGAAGGAACGTAATCAGAGAATTATAGAGCAAGAGGCATTAAATGTTTTTGGAAAAAGAAATATAGAATTGCAAACTATTAAACAAATACTCTGTGATCGTGGTTTAATGATATACGAGATCCCAAGTGATGGTCATTGGTGAGTTATTTTCCTACACTGTTTAGAGAAATTTATTAATAGCTATTAATTTAAATATATTTTTTCATTTTATTTATGCTATTACCATATTAATTTTTACAGTTTATATAATGCTGTTGCACATCAGCTAAAAATTATAGGAGAAACTCCATTGAATTTTCATGAACTTAGAACAAAAACTGCTGTATATTTGAGAGAAAACATGAATGAATTTTTACCATTTATTTCTAATCCAGATTCTGATGATCTTCTCTCACGAGAACAATATGAGAAATATTGTGATGATGTGGCAGGTACAAGTGCCTGGGGTGGAGCTATTGAAGTAAGCTAAAATAAATTAAAGAAATATATATATATATATATATATATA